AAAGGTTAAAGGTATATATTTTAAAGGTATTTAAAAGTCACATTTTTTCATCAGGGTTTCTCTATGCTCAGTGTGTTCCATATTGAGAAGGAAGATGGGGCAGGAAAAGAAAGCTCTGAGGAAGTAATGAACAAGATTAAGAATACCTCCACATTATGCATGAACAAAGAAGAAATCTTGGTCTGGCTTAATGTGAAAGATGTACTGGGAATGGTGAAAAATTCTTTAGAAAGACAAATATCTATTAAAAAAAAAGGAGAAATATATGAGGGGTGTTTTGCTTTTTCATTTTAGTGTATTCTTTTACTTTTATGTGGAATAACAGAAAATTGACTCAAGAAAAACAACAAAAATTTTGGAGCCACCGACTCTTTATTCACAGAGATGAACAGATTTCCTAAAGGTTGTGGGCTTGACACCTGGAAGGACATTTGTTGTGTGCTCAGTGACGCTACCACGAAGATGCAAGAGGAATTGCTATAAAGAAGCAGAGGACATTACTGGGAACATCTCTCTGATAACCACAGTACCAAAAGAAGAAATCAGTTAACAAAGAAAAAAGGCATGAAACCTCAACCCACCGGAGAACTTGTACTAGCCATGCGACAGCTAGCAAGGGGACAAATCCCAGCTATTTGTGCTGACACCTGAGTGTCCTCATAAGCCCACAGAGCCTATTGCAGAAGGAGGAAAATTCATGGGCTTCTGAAACGAGGAAGACAAGCTGTTTGTAAGCATAGTGGAGAGGGAAGGTGCGAATTCAGAAGCATGGCTGAGAAACTTGCAGAAATAATCTGCACGTCACACAAAAAGTGCCTGCAGTAAGAGGAAAATGAGAGGGAGCAGGTCCACCAAAGTGTGAAGCTGGAAGGGTGTGCACGCTAGTCTGAGCTGCAAACTCAAGGCCTGTGCTGGCCTTGGCCATCTGAAGTGTGTAGGCAGGATGGTAGATCGGGAGCTTGGTAGATGGTAGATCAGGTACTTTCAGAGAGCGGAGGCACACGCTGCGTCCAGCAGCATTGCTGCGGAGTAGGTTAGTAGCACTCTAAGCTGCACAGGTCTACTGTGCTCTGGAGACAGAGAGACTCCCTGGACATGATTTCCCAAAAAAAGAGGGTCCCTCTCAAGCTGATGTAACACAAACGAAGTAAATCCATTTGGGACTTGCTCTGCAGAGGTATTTGGGCAAATGGAGAAAATAACAACAGCCATGACAGAGAGCTGAATGGACTGATGCCCACAGTATGTGCTACGGCCAAGTGACACACAAGATAAATTGTAGGGAGGGAAGGGAGCATTCAAACCATCCTTCAGAAACAAAAAATTAAAAAAAAAGACCTTGAGGTAGCGAAGGGAATCATGAAAGTAAAAGTGCAACAGAAGAGGCAAAGAAACAGAGACTGGCATCTCTGTTTCATGACAAGATTTGGCTTTTGTTTTGCTCTCACTGTCGCTACTACATAATTCATTGGTGACTGAGGCAGGTTTCAGGACAGTGTCTACTGAATGAGTGGCAAGGAATAATTTATAACTTCAGAGGCTGCCACAGCCTGGCCTCACTATACTTTTTTAAGATGAACCCCCAAAGAAAAAGGTTTGCTGGACTTGACAGGAGGCGATGCTTGGGAATACACGGCAACTTCCTGCCCTTCATAGCACAAATAACACATACTCAGCCTGAATTTCAGCTCTTTCAGGAGGAGGATTGCACACGTGGACCCTAGGTACTATGATGGTGTGTTACCCATGACGAGATCTCACCACAAGACGACAAAAAGACCATTTATCACCCCTGATACTTATTAAAAAGGTTAAGCTGACTCCCACGTATAATTGTGTTCTCTCTCAAAGAGAAAACAAAGCTAGCTCTCCACACAGTCCCACCTACACAGTTGTGTCCTGGAGCAACGGCTGGTAGGAGTGGAAGGCAATGCAATCTCTCCTCTGTAACATGAACTCAAGTTGTCAGAGCATCAGCCTTGATGAGGTGTTTTCTGACGAACTTGGACTGAGAAACACCAAAAGCTTAATTCTGATCCCATTAAGTCACAGTTCGGCCAATGTTATAAACAGGGAAAGACTGAGGTTCAGCTCTTTTTATACACACAACTAAATAGGCGTAGGCGGCTCGAGGCATTAATCAACCACAGATGGGACTGCTAACATGGGATCACCCAGTCCTTGTCACCGCTCAAAGGTGATCAGTTTGCTTGGCTGTGAGTATACTGCTGTACCTGAACACCCATGGATTTTTAATTAATGGTTTCAAGCAAGCTTTCTTAATGACATTATAGCTTGAAATCGTATACAGTGTAAAACCCATTGTGAGATTAAATGGTTTTAATTCTTTCAGTATGTAAGGTAAAGAAGGTAAAAAGCTGCAGATGACCTTTTAAAATGACCTCATGTACAAAAGAAACAGCAAAACCTGAATCTCTGTGTGAGTTGAAGCACTGACGTCAATGGGATTCCCATGGGAAGTTTTGGGAGTTTGTCTTAACAAGAACAGAACCACTAAATAGGTCAAAGTTTTGACTTAAAACAGGTCAGTATGTCAAAAGTCACAAAGAAAAGTCTGGGATAAAACAAAGGCCAAAGAAAATGCTCCTTCTATTAACTATTATGAGCAGCATATTGGGCTTTTGAACCATTCATCAGCCATCTACAAAAGAAGCTACGGGCTGACTACAACAACTAAACTTGAAAGGGGAAGACATTCCTTTGTAGTTCACGTTTGCTGGCTTTGAAGTCACTGTGGGTCTTACCAGTGACTTCAATGGAACTAGCTTTGCGCTTTTATATTAGCCATTGTTTTATCCTTCCTCCTTTCAAAATTCCAGACAATAACATTTCTTTTTATTATAATCCTGACAGAGCAATTAGGCTGCAGTCCACACCTGCACCCGACATTTTTTCTTAACACAGCATTCTTTGAACTCCTCTTCTCTGAACAGAATTATGAGATCTGAATTAATGGTGTCTCTCTGCTCTATCTGGTACCTCTCTTTTTCATGACCTGCTGAAGAACATGAAATTCTTCAAGGGTTGTACAGCTGATCTTTGGCTAAAACCAGCAGTAGGTTTCACCTAGGGTATTATGAGTCTGCTTAACAAAAAAGAGAAGTTTGTTTTTTTTTTAATCAGGGTAACTAAGCAATAACAAAATGACAGAATGTGGATTAAAGCATAATCATTCACAGGTGCCTTCATAGCATGTTTTCAGTCCTGAGTTCAGAAGCTGAATCGCATTCCCAGTGTAACAAGCTATGAATTACTGCCTCATAATTAAAAAAATTGAAAGCATTTTAATAATAAATACATAAATAATAAAACATTTTCTTTCTATCCTTAATATATAAACTGCATATGTACACACCACAAATACTCACTGAGAAAACATGAGGTTCGCATTCCTCCAAGACACCCCCAATCTCTCACTCTTTTAGTGTTGAATGTGAAAGCCTCTGAGCTTTGTCTACACAGCCCACTATGCCCACCGGCGCTCCTGTCTGACTCTGGGCTACAGCTGGAACAGCCCCGGCTCCCTCGCTACTGCCTTTGCAGCTCGTGATTGAGGAAAGCTACCCAGAAGGAGCCATTTTCCCCAATGTTCGCTTGTACAGCTCCCCCCTCTCGCTCACCTGGGAGGAAGCTGAGAGCCACATGACAGACCCAAAGAGAAAACCTCGCGTGCTTCCAAAACCTGCAGCTATGCCACCACCCCTGGACATCCAGCCACGGGAAGGATGAGGAGAGCCGCGGGCAGTGCCCACCTCAACTCTATGCAAAATAACCCCCGGCCCTTTGAAGCACCTTCGGGCTGTGGGGTGGTATGAAGAATGGCACCAGACGTTGACCACAAAACATAGTGGGGAACTTTTATGAGATATTCTGTTTCACAAAGCTGCTGCACAGAGGGATTCTGCAACATGGAGCGGCTTGTTTGGCAAGGGTAACTGATGGGATTAGTACCACTTCTTCCCCGTGCTCTCATGCGATTTATATTTTGCTAAGCACTTCCAAGCTGCGTCTCTCTCCCCGATTGCTGCACGGTTTCACCTTGCAGCGGTGGCAGGGGAACCCCGGAGAGGAATACACGCTGTGGAGCTAGACCTGATATGAAACCCAGACACAAATGACATGGTGTATTTCCTTCAGCCGAAAAATCCCCATGACAAGAAACAGCACCAGTGGTTTCAAAAGACAAAGATTTTTTTGTAGCTTTCTGTAATGTTTGCTACAGGACAAGACCACAGGATTCATTTATTCATCTTTTTTGTCACTGAATTTTCAAATGGCTAGTTAAATCAAAATGAATGACTGTTGTCTTTTGAAATATTTATGAATCAAAACTAATGTGGCACCGGGAGGACCATGTGAAGTGACGCAAGAGATAATTTTGCCCATTAATTTATTAAGGGCTTGATCCTGCCACAGAATCTGTTATACTTATCTAAGTGCCTGTACTGAATGCTATACTCTCTTTTTTTGTGAGTAAATCTTAACATGACCCATGTGCACAAAACCATGCAATAAAGTAGCAGGCAAGATCGTGTAAATATCACAGAATCACAGAATCACTAAGGTTGGAAAGGACCTTCAAGATCATCAAGTCCAACCATTAACCCAATGCCACCATGTCCCCTAAACCATGTCCTGAAGCGCCACATCCACAAGTTTTTTGAACACTTCCAGAGATGGCGACTCCACCACCTCCCTGGGCAGCCTGTTCCAATGCCTGACCACCCTCTCAGTGAAGAAATTTTCCCTAATTAATTAATATATTAATTAATATAGTAATATATTAATTAATCATTAATATATTAATGTAACAAACTATTAATATATTAATTAATATATTAATTAATATATGCTTATGCTTATAGATTTTTCTGTTTTGTTAAATAGAGAACACAACAAAATTCCTACGCATGATCTATGGACTTAAAGCTATTTACTGGATGGTACACAGAGACATATATGCAGGAGGAGCTACTTGCCGTCAACACAGGAAGGTCTGTTTCTTGTAGTCCCAGCCACTTTCCCAGGTAGACAGGAGCATTTTACTGTTTGTGATCTTTCCTCAATTCGATTCTTATTACAGCATCTGTGTGCTGCTATAACTTCACACGTTCCTCCTTCTGGCAAAAAAGAAAAAAGAAAAAAAGAAAAAAAGAAAAAGAGAATATTGACACTCTGATTAGAAAGAGCAGCAGTGGCTAATCAAAGCACCCAGGTGTGCTCCTACCCATGCCTCGGCACAGCTTCTATACGGGTGGGATTACAACATTATTTCTTCCATTATGCGTGCTCCTGAATAAGCCAGGTGCTGCTATACTTCAGTTTTAATAGGAAATGCAGATAAATGACCCTCTACAGTAGAAGTAGCTTGCCTGTCATATTAGAAGCTTCTCTGACATCAGCAGAATTTTTGGCCTAAAAAGGACTGTGTCAAGGTCTGGGCCTGAAGAAATGTAGGTAACATACTGCAGTAAATGTGCACCAACGTTGGCTGATTTAATGCTTGTAATATTGGAGGCCTCTTCCCCCAAATATTGTCTTGTACAAGGGCAGGGACTAAGGGAAGGCTAAGGGAATCCATCTAGAAATAAGCTTTTTCTCCAAATATTTGATTCTATACCAGTACTCAGCCCTTAGAGAATGACAATCAGCCTCTGCAAATTACGGGATGGTCCAGCAGCACTTCCCTTTGCTACCCCACTCACTAAACTGGCAGCTTTAAGGGCAGGAATCATTCCTGTTGTGTGCAAGATCACCAGGTTTAATTTGTCTTGTCCCTAATTCCCTGTTCGTTATGAACATTTGCAATAGTTTGATTAGGTGGAGAACACAAAGGAGTGATAGACAGATAGTTGGCGACTTAAGGTTTATGAGTACTTGGTGTTCGTGGCATATGCTATGCACAGAAATGAAGTGTCAAGTGTATTATTCCGATTCACCTTAGCAGCGCAGTGCAAGGAGATGAGACACCACAGTGGGATAATGCACTGCCCAAGTAATTTCTTGATTCCTCAGTTCAGATTGTATTTAGCTCATAATCACCAAGTATTTAATAGTGCCAGTCTGTTCCCCACAGATATTTGGCTACTTTATGAAATTGCGGCATAAATTTGGCAGGATTTGTTTAAACTTAGCACAAAACATCGTGCACAGCCTACTAAAGGGCAGTATGTGCAAGAAGGTTGGCTAGGTTTGCTAGAAAAGCATTCTTGCTTTATGCCACTATGAAATACTAACTGTGCATTGTTCTTACTATAGCATAAAAAGCGTTATTCCTGTCTTTGGTTTTCGGTCTTCTTTTGGAAACAACTTCGGGAGCTTTTGAACACTATGGTAACCCTGCAGCCAGGGAGGAGAATAAGCAGTGTGGAGATGCTGATCCATGTCTGGCTGTGAACAATGGATTTCGGAAGAGGTCTGGGAGTCCAGTGGCATCTCCTTGAGCAGGAGCGAGTCCTGTTACCTGGTGATTCTACAAATGAGCTGTTTCTGTAGTGAAGTGTAGGTAGATGGGCAGGGAGGAATCTACCTTGACTGTATGCTGTTAAGGTCATATGGTGGTGAGCTATAAGATGTACCCATAGTATTAAGTGGTACAACAACTACCACTGAACAGGGGCTCCACGAAGCATGGAAGTGTTTTATAATATTAAATTTTCAAACCAGACATTCCAGGGTGAGTCAGTGGATAGAAGCCTGTGAACCTCCATTAGGCGAAATGAGCTTAGGTTGTGCGGTCAGGGGGTCAAGCACTGGTGAGTTTGCAAGCATGAGACAAGGCTAACTCTGCAGTAAATGTTTAACTCATGTGGAGAGAAACGCTGCTTCATGTATTTGTTATTAGGTGCATTTGGCCTTCTGACACAAGCTTTTTGAAAGTCAATAGGTACCAGAAAAGAGAGATCCCAACAATTCAGAAAGCCATCATCTGACAAATGGTGTCTTAAGTGTCTCTTAGGAGTAAGAGGAATTGTGACAATCAACTCAGCCCCAAATGCTTGCATTTTTCTATGAAGTAATTCTTCAGATAAACTCCCTGTTCCCCTGTCCAAATCATATTGAAAGCAATGAAAAGATTCTCATTGGTTTAATTCATCTTATGGTCATGCCCTAAGAGAAGAAAGATTTGTGATTTTATTGATTACAACCTCAACAATAAAGATAAAGTATGCAGTAATAAGCATTTCTAATTTTAGACTACATAGAGTGTGTGGTAAATATCTGTAAATAAGCTAAATGCTTAATTTTCTCTATTAATTTGTTGTGTAAGTACTAATAACCGCATGAGCTAGTCTTGCTTATTTTGTTATCTATTCAAAATAATGGGTTGCGGTGGATGAGCTTTATAACACCTTTAATTGTTATGTGGAAGCTCAAGATCCTGCAGCAATAAAGAATTTAACTTGAAGTTTACAGTTGTTTAGGAGCGGCAAAACATAATGAAACTATAAAAGCAATGACAAAACACTTTTTTTACCACTAAACAGTTAAGTACACTAATGGGAACTTTTACCTGTATGGACTATAACTGTAATGCAAATTATAATAACATTAATAAAAAGACCCTTCCCAGTGCTGACATAGAAGAAAAAAAAACATCTCACATGGAGAAAGTTATGCATGTTACACACCCAGTTTTCCTGGAAAATTTGTTATGTGGGATCAGATTTTTCTGTTAAAGCGTGTTTAGCCTATGAATGATTACTGGATAACGTTGTATGCAATGTGTTTTGCTGGTATGCATTTTAGCCAAACATGCATACATGTTAGACATTTTAAAAGCCATATATGAAATGGGAATAGATAGTGGTACCCAGACAAATACAAATGGACCCAGAGATACTAGGAAAAAACCTAATTGAAAAAGCACACTCTCGATTATGTTAGTCACAGAAATATATATACCACAAATATACTGGGACACACACACACACGCTCAACTTAAATCTCTATTTCAGCTGTACAAATGAGGAAACAAGTTAGAGCGGGGAGGGGAACAAGAATCAGTCTTTAGTTTCCACTGAAAACAATTTTAACGTGTTGATGTATATGTGAAGCACCTTTTTATTCTGTGAATTTTATTTTTTATTTCCAACTTCCTTCTTGGGAGGGGAAGGGGGCCAGGGGAGGCAGAGCACCAAGAGATGCTGTAATACCAACATCTGAGGACTTCTGCTCCAGTGATTTTTTCTCACTGGTTCTACTAGATTATGGGAAGACCTGGCGAGATGTTACAGTGCTGGGAGTCCTGAAAAAATTTGAATTATTGACCTGATAGGCTGTCAGTGCAGCAAAAGTTTAAATCCTCATCATAAAGAATAGAAATGTCTTTTTTTAGAAGCTTATGGTCTATTGAGCTAAGGTAGCTTCTGGCTTTGTTTCCGCAATAACAGCCTCATCCAACTCATTCAAGTTGATCGGGGATTTGCTGTTGATCTTAAAAGGAGAGAGAAGGGCCCCAAAATCCTCTAAGTAAGTGTCTTCTGAATGTTTTGTTGAGAGTTACATTTCATGAAGTGGCTGCTTTATCCACCTGATAATAAAAATAGCTTATGTTTTTTTAATTCCCTCCTGCCCCAAGAAAATAAGAAAAAAGTTTAGAAATGAAATACAAACTTGCAAATCAGGAATAGTTTTATTCTTTCTTCAAGAAACTTCAGAGGTAAATGGATATGTCCTAACATGACTTATGTCCTCTTCACACCAAACATTAGCAGGACTTGGCAGTAAAAACAGCTAACCCTTTCCGAGTCCTCAGTTCACAGGATGCCCTGAACTTTGCGTGAAGGAAGTGTGATGCCTACCAAAGCAAGAGGGAAAGAACTGGCTGCTGGGAAGGATTCTGGGCTGTTGAAGATGGCAACTGTCTGTGGCACTATGTCTCTGCTCATATTTCCGAGCCTTCCAAAATGTTCTGCATAGGCTTAAAATATGAAACTGTAGAAATTATCCATAATTCTTACTGTAAAACAGGGACAACCATTTGTTACTCCTGTAAATGGTTTAATTCTAATTGGAGGGCACTAGACTCCTGAAAACATGTTCATTTTTATTTCTATTATTAAGCCACCTTGAGCTAACATACTGCAGAGTGAAATATTTTATCATAAGAAAGAACCTATTGTGGATGGCTGTGATTTAAAATATCTAATCATCTATAGGGTCTGAGTGCACGCCTGGCAGAAGCCAAAAAGCCATCTTCTAGTAATCTCTGTTTTTTATATCTCTAGCTGAGACGTAATAATAAAAGCATATTTTGCACTTCAAAATTATAACTCGCCTCTGTATTCTAGCCAAGCCTGAACTTATCAGTAAACAAACATAAAAAAGGCAAACAGCAGTACTGATTTGTGTTATACATTGTGGAAGTCATTAACTATGACTCAGGTAGCAAAACTTACATGTTCTCTCTTTGACAGTGATGACAATTTAATAGTATTTGACTCTGCTGAGTTACATGGAGCATCCTGCAGCAATGAGAGATGCTGTTTATCAAAATGATAAACATGTTTTCATTTCCTCCTTGGCTGCATGTATGTGATCAGAAGTCTAAGGCCATCAAGAATTCACTTATTCTGGCCACCAGGCAGACATTAAGCTATTCAGGACCATCTGTGCTTGAAATGAGTTCCACTTAATGGACCTTCCTAGGGCAGGTCAGTCATAATGAATGCATGTGTGCATGAATGCTTGAGCAAAGCACCACTTAGGTGAGACTTCTTGGGTTGTTTGGCAGAGGCGCAGACGGTTGATAGATAAGAGATGCCTTTTTTGGAGGGGTCGTACGCCCAGTGATTTTAGAATTCAGGTGGTCTGTTACATTTGCTTCTATCTCATCGCCAATGCACCACACAACCTGATCGAGTTGAAGGTTGTTGTAAGAACTTGTTCATGTTACCCGCAAAAAAAAAGTCATACCCAAACAACTTCCTAGGCTTTGCTGGTCAAATTTTGCCCTGTGTTACAGCATAAGCAACCCACCATGGGAATATGAGCAAAGGAAATCATATGGACCAATTCCACCAACATTTCCAGACAGTTCATTAGAACTATTACTGGTTTTTCTAGCTCTGTTTATTTATACAGCCTCAGCTAGAGAGTCTATGTTCCAGTGTTGTCA